GTGAAGGGGCCAATGATAGCGTGGGCACGAAATGTGGGGCGAAATATAAATTTAGAGGAATGGGAAAGATTATGGAACAGAAATTGCAAATTGACGCTATCAACTGCATATAGAGAGAATCAATATAAAATGATTTACAGATGGCATTTAACACCGGCGAGATTGGCCAAAATGTATAAAAACATAGACCCGAAGTGTTTGAAATGTAAAATTAAAGAAGGAACATTTTATCACATGTGGTGGCTGTGCCCCAAAGTAAAAAATTATTGGGAATGGATAAGAGATTGGATACAGGAGATAACTGAGATACAAATGGATTTCAAACCAGAAATATTTCTTTTGGGCATAATAAATTTAAAGATGGAAAAACAACTCCAACACATTATACACATATTGACTGCAGCTCGTATAGCATATGCGCAATGTTGGAAGAGTGAAAATATTCCCACAAATGATATGATTATGTATAAAATTTTGGAATGCGCAGAAATGAACAAACTTACGTTAGAATTAAAAGACGAGGCGTCAGAATTTTATGAAATTTGGAATAAATGTTATAATTGGCTAGAACAGAGAAAGAAAAAGACATAATTATTGATGTACATAAAATGTAAATAAGATGTAAAGAATATTTAAAATGTAAAGCACTGTTCTGTTAGAAGAAAAGATATATGTTTATGTAGTTTTTGGTGTATGGTGTATGGTGAAAAATAAAAAAAATTAATAAAAAAAAGAACTTGCTCTCATTCTATCTTGGCAAATGAGCTGTGAGCTTGTCCAAAGAAAGCAGAAGAAATATAGTTTAGAACAAGCCTAGAGCATGAAGTGTTAGAACTCTAACTTTATGTGCACCAAGCCATGGTTTCCATGCACAAAGCTGGATTTCTATCAGTACACATTTTTGCTATGCCAGCTTTATACCCTTGCATTTTATTGAAGGAAACTAAAAGTTTGTATTTATCATACATTTTGAATGTATAAGCTTGGATTTATATATTAACTAGTTCTTACAACAGTGGTCTGTAATAGACAGTCCTGTTTGGCACTTTACTTGCTTGGGATCAATTATTTCATCATATATAGATTCTGGTGTATAGATACCTAGCATATAATTTGCTATTGATATACAATAGACTAATTAACCTATAATTAGATGAGTCACTCGTGTCACGCTTTTTACATAAGGAAACAATTATTGCTACTCTCAGTTCTCTGGCATCTTAGCTGTGCAATTAATATATGAAAAGAGAGAGGCCAGTACTGGTGCCCATCAGAGTTATATTTAATTAACTTGGAAGGAATACAATTACAACCCAGAGCTTTATCACACTTAAGTTGATTAATAATATTTTTTACTTCCTTACATATTACTGGGGGCCACTGGGGTAGAGGGATAAAGCCACATCCATCATGTAGGTGTCAGCGTGAGGATCATAATACAAGGCTTGCAGATAATATATGCAGGTATTGAAGGAAATAGACTGCATTTGGGTGGCATCATTGTAGGAACAATTTGTCATAATATACCAGGGGTCTTTGACTTTGCAGCTTTGATTAGCTGTGACCATTATTTTTTCTTCTGACCAAGGGGTTTTCCTTCCCTTTCTGAGCAAATAATACAGTTTTAGCCCCCGAGATGAGTGGTGGCCTAAAGGTGAAAATGCTCACCTCCCATTCAGAAATTTGAGAGATCAATCCTAGGCGATGACAGATTGTTCTCTATCAGGGTGCAAAGAGAAAATATCTGCTGTGAACACCACATAGGCATCAATAAGGGCAACCACCCAGTAAACACTCAGCTCCATTCAGTTGCCCTGACTCCATTCCGAATAAAGGGATTACAGGGTTGTAAAAAGAAAAAAAAAGTACAATTTCAGCATCAATGTTGCATTTGTCAAACTAGTTCTTGGAATGGTGACCCCTCCGGTTCAGATTGGTCTTTGTTTTCCTTACAAAAGATTGGTGTCTATGATTACAAGCCCATGATATACATTTAGTTGACTCCTTGAATGTGATTTTATTTAATTTTTAGGAATTGAAGTTGTGATATTATAGCTGGTAGGCATAGGATTAAGATACTTCTTTTTAAAGGCAGAGAGATTCTAGGTTTGTTGTTTTATTGTAATTTATTTTTGGTCTATAATACACTGGAGAAATTTTGCTTGGAATGTTTATGTTTATAATGTGTTACTTCCATATCTTCTGAGTGAATTATAGCAAAACTGATGGAAATGAATTCGGTCAAGGAGGAGTGGCGATCTTGTGGTTTCCAGATCCCTTTCAGTGTCTGTTAGCTCTTCAGTCAGTTGAAGATAAGAATGATAATTTAATAATTTGCAGACTATTGCAAATTAACCAAAAATCTCACTTAATTTCAGGCGGTCCATGGATTTTTACTTTCAATGTCAAGTTTTATCCTCCAGACCCAGCACAATTAACAGAGGATATAACAAGGTTTGTGATATCATTAAATCACTATTTTTTAACCATGACACCTTTAAAGATATGTGGATTTCAGCTCTTCCTTAACCAGCATGCTGACTGGGGTATTCTGGGGATTGAAGTCCATACATCTTAAAGTTTCTAAGATGGAGTAATACTATCCTAAACTAATAGAAAATGCATTTCAAAGATTTACTAGTACGAAAAATAAAAACATGAAATTAAAATACTTGGTTTTGGGTAATGCATATATAAGATATGTATATAAATATAAATAAATAAAATATATAAGAGAAGCCTTAACTGGTGCTCCTCAATCTGCAAGAAAAGATGCAATCAGGACACAATTATAGGGGAATAGGTAAAACAGTTTAATGTGCCCATCAGTCTTGGAAGACAGATATAGTGTTGGTTTAATGGTGAACTTGGCTTCATTATACATGTCCTCCTTTTTTTGAGAAAGAGAATTCTATTTTTGTATTCTGACAATTCATCATCTGCATATAACAGAAGAAAATAATAATATTCTGCTACATAATGCTGATCTTGTGCTTATTCCATAAGGTACAAAGTGAGCAACCTTATCTTTTATCATGTGTATGCCAAAAACAAGTAATACTTGGTTTTAGGAAGCTTTCTTTAAAACTGAAATAATTTTCAATCCATCTGGTGGATTTTTTAGTTAGACATTGCAAGTGAAGAGGTGCTTTGCTGGGTATTGATGCAATTGAATCTTTGAATTCGTTGGTATGATGTTTGTATTTTGCAGGTATTATTTGTGTCTCCAGCTAAGAAAAGATATTATTAATGGGCGGCTTCCTTGCTCCTTTGCTACGTTAGCTTTGCTGGGTTCCTACACAATCCAATCTGAGTTAGGAGACTATGATATAGATCTACATGGTGCAGATTATGTCAGTGAATTTAAACTGGCCCCAAACCAGACAAAAGAACTAGAAGACAAGATCACAGAATTACATAAAACATACAGGTGAGTATTAAACCTGTCATTGAACAAGTGTTGTGTAACCAATTAAAGTAGTGTGTGTGCATGTGTATGTAGAAATATGAATATCTTTAAAACATGGATATAGTGATAATTATTGAGTTCACTTAGGTTATAATCTATCATTATAAGTCAAAGTAAATTATTCTTGAAAATTAAAAATTAAAATAAACTTAGTATGTTGGGTGAACTCAACCAATGGTGAACAAGTTTAATTACATTTTCATGGTTCAGTGGATCCAGGACATCTTCTAAGTGCTGCTAAAATGCTATTTTGGCACCTATTTGTTTATAGATCTATGAGTCCAGCTCAGGCTGATATGGAGTTTCTTGAGAATGCTAAAAAGCTGTCGATGTATGGAGTTGATCTTCATAAAGCCAAGGTAAGATAATATATTTGTTTATAATATTTTTATATGTTTTACTTATATATCACACCCAATTGCAACTCTGGTTGGTAAAGATAGGATTAAAATCAAACAAACTGAATAAGCAAAATAAGAAAGTAAAAAAGAAAATAGTGGTGACCAAAAGCAAGCCCAATTCCAATAATAATACAAATAAAAACTTACTGCAATAGATTCACCTAACCTCCAGATTCCATGTCTGAGGAAAGGGCCAGATCTTCAATTTTTTTAAAAAATACTAGCAGGGTTTGGGGTTCTCCAAATCCAGGGGTGTAGCGTTCGAAAGAACAGGTGCTGTAACAGAGAAAGCTTGCTTCCTGGAACCCACCAGATGGCACTAGTTAATAGACAGGCCCCAGAGTATGGGAGATGGGAAAAATCTGTCTTTTTACACATTCTGAAATCCTGCGCATAATCTAACCCTACTAATTCTAGCACCCATCTGTCTATGCTCTTGAGTGTTCTAAAGAAAAAGAATGTAGAGCTAATTCAGAGAAGGACGGTTTCCCAGCTTTCCCAGAAGAGATAGAGTTGGCCCTTTCCATAATGCTGTTCTGTTTTTATGTTGCTTCATGTACAAGCAGTGAAGTCCTGGATTAAATTTAGGAACTTTCGGGAGGGATTTTGCCCTTGGTGAAAACACTGAAAAACGACTTGACAATTATGAAGAGAGAGCTTTTATTTGGGGGGGGGGGGAGGAAATATGCTTGAGTGAAGGCAAACAATTGAATGAAGGCAAACAAATACAGTCTGAAACTGTATTTATCTTGTTGGATCAAGGCTAATGTAATAAAAAATATGGAACATTTAATGGAAAACTGTATTTGAAGAGAGCATATTACCCAGGTCAGGATTTTGTCAAGAAAACAGTATATAGAAGAAATTAAAAATAACTAGCGCAGAAGTCATGGATAGGGTCAAGCATTTTTAATGTTAAGGAGACTTTTGATGAGGATGGTGCGTTAGTACATCTCTGAACAAGCAGAAATGACATCATGACTATGACTGAAGTACTGGTGAATAGACTGGTACTATGGAATCTCCCTGGATAAGGGGAGGATGAGACATAGCCTGCTTGAGAGGAAGGAGTAAAAAATTGGTTTGTTTAACCAAAGTTAAATAATGTCCTTATCCTTTCTTTTTATCTCTTCCACTTTCTCTTTTTCTTACTTTAGTTTGTATGATCTTTTATTGTTTTTAATTTTTTAAAATATTTTTTTTAAATGTTGAAATAAGAACGTATGAGTACTATATCCTATTTTCTTTTTTTCATAGGACTTGGAAGGTGTAGACATCACTCTAGGAGTCTGTTCCAGTGGTCTTCTTGTCTACAAAGATAAATTGAGAATCAATCGTTTTCCTTGGCCCAAAGTGTTGAAGATTTCTTACAAGCGCAGTAGCTTTTTTATTAAGATCCGGCCTGGTGAGGTAGGTTATGGAGTAATTTTATTTTCATTCTAATTGAATCCATTTGTCTTATCTTAGAGAAATATTAAGGATAAACTATTTTTCAAATAACAACTTAATCCGGATGTTGAACAAAATCTATCCACAATCATGCATATCTTGGTGGATTATGACTTACTTCCTTTGATGCTTCTTATAAGGAAATGTCTTTGGGCCTGGGTTGAATAGTGCAGATGGTTTGATATGTGACTTTGTTGATTAGAAGCACCTAATATGCTATGTTGCATTTTATGTTAGACATACTTCAGTCTATATCAAATGAACATGTCTTGGATGAATTCAGAGTTCTTGCTATAATAAGGATGTGGATATTGCTATTACTGTATATTAGTTTTGAAGAGTAAAAATTCATTTTAGATTCAGATATATATGTTCTATGATATACATATTTCTATTGATAATAACATATTTTACCAGTGTAGCTGTGTTGCTGTCAGCATTTAAAAAAACATGTCATCTTGTATTAAAATTTGACCAAGCCATGTTATGATCATATTGCTTTTTTCTGCTTTGGGAAAATGCTTTTTAGAAATGGTATTTTTAAACAATTTCAGTTTGTATCTATTTTAATTCTAATGAAAGGAGTAACTTTTCATAAGCTATTTGATTCGTTAAATGGTAAAAATGAAGTATTCAGTTTCCTATAACAGCTACTTTATGCAATCAAACCATTATAGTTTCAATGCAGCCACATAGTTGAAAATTTTTTTAAATGATTTTTAGGGTTATACTTTATTTTCTATATTTTTACTTATTTCCTCCCTCCTCCTATTTTTCCCACAACTATTGTGTGAGGTGAGCCAAGAGAGAGTGACCGATCCCTTCCTTCCCTGTTTTATTTTTTCAGGGCTTTTGCCCCTGTGTCCCCATTGTTTTTTTTTTTTCATTTCCTTTGTAATTTGCTTTCTTTAGTTGATGATGATTGGGTAATTTTTTCAATAATAGCTTAAATTAAATTAAATTTACTGGCTTTGTTCTTAATGGCTATTTCTTTTTAAAAATTCAATTATGTTTTTTAATGTAATAAATAGTTTAATCCAGTGATAACTTCTGTGCCAATCAAATTTGCTCTATACTATTTTCCATAGCATGAACAATATGAAAGTACTATTGGATTCAAACTTCCTAGTTATCGAGCAGCTAAGAAATTGTGGAAAGTCTGTGTTGAACATCACACATTTTTCAGGTTTGCATTTGTATTTTTAATTGCAGGCTAATTAAGAAATGGTGTTTCTAAATCCACTTCTGATCTGAATTGGATGAGATCAAATGTGGTCTCATACTTCAGACCTCCAAAGTCCTAATTGGCCAATGGCTAGTGGTAGCATGTGGCTTTGATTTCCCAGTATTTGTGTCTGAAAGTAGGTCAATATCAGTAGCAAAGACTCTTCTTTTGTCCTCACAAGGGATGCACAACTCATCCCAAGCATGGAACAGCTGGTATTGTTAGTCCTTGTCCTAATCAAGATACAAATATGGTCGGTCCTCATTGACCACTTGTTCAATGACCATTCAAATTTACAATGGCGCTAAATGAATAGCAGTTACAACTGATCCTCATACTTAATAGCCACTGTAGCATCCCCATGTTCATGTGATTGTGATCTGGGTACTTGGTGGCTAATTCACGATTGTGCCATTGGAGTTTCCAGGTGTCATGTAATCATGATTTGTGACCTTTCCCACAAGCTTAGGACTAGCAAAGTCAATGGGGAAGCCAGCAGGAAGTTGCAAGTCACTCTTACGTGAAGTCCTCACTTAGCAATCCATACGGTCCTCACTTAATGACGGCAACTGGACTGTTGACTCTAAAAATGCAGTCATGTGATTTTCTTTCAAGTATTAACATAAGTAGGCAAAGACTATCTGTATTTCAAATTATTTTGCCTATTTATAGAATGAAATGGAACTTTTGTTACTGACATGGAACAAACAGCAGTTACTTCAGGCAGAAGTGGATTGAATGGTGGGTGATGGCATAAAAGTGGGAAATAGTCAAGAAAATTAGTTGCTAAGGGGAGAAAAACAGAAGTGCCGGGATGATTGGGAGGCTTGTTCTTTATTGCCGAGACCATAGTAGAAAGTAACAGGTGCAGAGGCCAGTACATTGACAGTAGCTGAGGGGAAGAGCACAAAGCTTTGAATAGCATAAAATTGTTCAAGTGTTGTCTATATTCATAAATGAATAACTAAATGTAAACAGTCAGCTTCTCTCATAATAAGAATGAGCTAATTTGTTGTACATAATGATTCATTACTTCAGAATGAAGTAATGGAGGTAGCCCATTTCCAAAGTTTCTCTAAATAAGAAAGCTTTCACTAATCAGACCAATTATCCTGTACAACCTAATCTGTTCTCTTGAGAGTTCTTAGTTCTTCTGTCAAACACTTGCCTTTTTTAGCTAAGCATAGAAAACTGGAAAGGGGGATATTTTAAAATTTCTTACCCAAAGCCCAGAATTTAATATAAATTGTGCTTATTTTATAAGGGAAAGCTATAGTCCTATGCAATCTTACACATGGGGAATTTAATGAGAAATTCTCTTATTAAATCAGTGAAGCCAAATCTGTAAATATTTTTCACAAATTGGAAAACAGAAATTTTAGAAAACAAAAAAATGTAGCAATCACATATTCCACAAAATCTCATTTAGATCTATATTTACCTTTAAAAAGTAGTCAGAGTGTGCCTTGGGTTTCCCCCTGATGGATGTGAATGGCACTTTTAGGTGAATAAAATAATGATACAATTAAGATAGCACTCACTATTGAGTGGCTGTCATTTTATTTGAGTTGGAATTATATCCCTGGGTTATACATTAATAACATTAGAATATGCATGTATCTTTTAGATTAACATCAACTGAAGCGCTTCCCAAGAGCCGATTCTTGGTGCTGGGTTCTAAATTTCGCTACAGTGGCCGGACACAAGCTCAGACCAGACAGGCTAGTGCCCTGATAGATAGACCTGCACCACAGTTTGAACGAACAGCAAGTAAACGTGCTTCTAGAAGCCTTGATGGTGGTGAGTACCCTGAACTTTCTCTTCTTTATTATAAGTTCCAATCTTAAGTTGGTTTTTTACGGATTCTACTGAATTGGATTGCAGTAATATTTTTCTTAAATGTGTAGTAAGTGATTAAAAAGTGTTATTAGATTCACATGGGACGTTTGAAAAAAAATGTGGAACTGAAAAATGACATCTGATTCTTACCATACCCTGGTTACTGCAACTCTGTTACTTTGCCACATTCTGGGGGTCATGAATCCTATGTGATCTCCTATGTGACTCATTGTTCCTTTTATGTAACGTGAATGCCTCATGAAAAGATTTCCATGTTGGTGACATAACATGAAGACAAACAATTTTAAAATGTTCATAAAAGTAGCTTTTAAATCTTTCTTAAACACTTAACAATGCTTCTTCTAATATAGCTAACAACTGTCAATTTTAAGAACCATTTCAAATTTGGAGATAATTTTAACTGAAGGCAGATGAATATAAAATTGAAGAAATTAACAAAGCAGTTGTATCCAAACTGAAATTTAGCAACTTTTTTTCTATATACAATGTTTTGTATATTCTTAACGTGTGCACAATTTCTTCAGCTAAACGTGGCTCTCAAAAAATTCAGTTCAAACTCGTAGAGGAGGAGAAGCAGGAGGATGTGTTGGTTGGGGTTCCGGAATCAGAACCTGTGGAACAATTTCAGGAGAAGCCAGGTATCACTGTGGGTAGCTCTGATTCTCTCTCTGTCCCTGTCTCTGCGGTGCTTTTTCTATCCTTTTGCGAGCGGAGACATCTTACCTGATTCTGAAATGCTTCACATGTTCTGGGGTATATTTTTCCTACCAGGAAATCCCCCCCCCCTCTCCAATCTCATAAAGGAATAAAATGAGTTCTCGATGATTTGAAAACAAAGCCCCTCCTGTATATTAATACTTAAATTCTTGCATCAATAATAGAGCCACAAATCTCAGTTGCTTGAGAAAATAGTTTGGATCTAAGGTGTCAGATGAATGAAGGAGAACCACTTTCCGTATTCGTTATTATAAAAAAAAAACCTTTGCAAAAGAGTTGTTCAATCTCCCTGGGCAGCTGTATTCTTTGGTATGGATAGTTTGTAATTTCTGTGCTGGAAATGTCATTTATGCAGTCCTAAAGTTATATTCAAAATTAGGGTATCTTTGGGTTTCTTTTGCTGTAATTAAAGCATTATTTTTCATGAGGATTTCATCCTATTTTTAAAAACATTAAGCTTGTCTATAACAGTATAATCTGGCTAGGAAAGCTGTACAAAGCAAGTTAGATTTCTTCTGACATACATTTCAGAGCATATTTAAGGCATTACATTCAGTCTCAGTTTTGCTGCTTTCACAATGCTGTTTTATTTTGTCATTCTTAATGATAAGACCTATTTAGAGCAATTTGTTAAATAGCTTATTTTAATATTGTTCAGATGAAGTAGGATTATTCTTACATATTTCCTGTTGTATAATTCAGATGTCTAATCAGATTTTTGAGAATTGGTATCAGTTTCTGTGTATATTATTAACATTTCATATTATAAGACTGAAGAAATTTAATGGGAGAGTAGTATCCTTTTATAAACAAAGCAGGATACTATATATACAAATGCATGCCCCTTGTTCTTCTGGTGTGTTCAGGTAACAGAATGGTGTGACAAGTTGCAACCTTCAGAATTGTTGTTAGAACAGTGATATTAAATTTGCATTCTATAGTTTGTACACAGTACTAGTGAATCATTTATCAAGTTGGACAGAGAAAGCAAGTAGAACAGTTAGATTGTTTATATTTGGATCTAATCTAAAGACAGATTGCAAGATCATTTCATATCTTTTGAAGCAGTCACATCTTTTTTAGAGCTGAATGACTGCTTTAAAAGAAAAAAATATGGAGCAATGTGTCTATGCATGTATTTACATGCAAAAATAGCTAGACACAACTGAGTGAGCTTGGAAGAAGAGACAAAATTCTATTTACAAGTTTGCTCCTAATAATTCTCTTTTAATACTTTGAAGTTTTAAAATGCATTCATAACTTTTATAGCTATACATGTTCTAGACATAAGTACAATAAAAGAAGAGGAGAAAGAAGAAAAATCAGTTGTGCAGGATCTAGAGCCAAAATCGATATTACTTGAAACTATTCAGGAAGAGTCAGGTATCTCAGTAACAACTTATATTTTGTTACTAATATATTTTCTTTTAGTGACTAATATTCATTCTTTATGATTTATCTAATAACTCACTAAACTTATTATAGCAATCAATACTTATCAGTAGTATGACACAAGATAGTATGATAATTGGTAGAGAACTCCAGGAAGCTTAATATATTTATATGATAGACTTGAAATTGTGAAAGGGGCCATTCATAATCAAAGTTGTTCTAAAAGAGTTTATATAAGGTTTAGTCTAATTTTGATAGTATGCATGTGTTTTGCACTGTTTTTCTCTTTTCTGGAACATTGTCAGTGTGAATGAGCATGAACTATAAGTGGTAGCATGGAATATAGATCCATACTGAGGAAAAGGAAGTGAAGTACAGGTAATCCTCCGCTTACACCATTTGTTTAGTGACATTTCAAAGTTAGGGGTCCTTGGTGCTCGTTGAGCTTGGTTGTTTTCTTGCAGACATTTCATTACCCAGATTAGTTAAAATCATCAGCACTGATAATGTTACTGATAATGTAATGAAACATCTGCAAGAAAACAAGCTCAGAGAGCCCCAAAGACCCCATCTTTCAACCCTGAGCTACAAATATTCTCCTTTATTGTTCAAAGTTACAATGGCACTGAAAAATGTTTTTCACACTTTGCAGCAACTCTGTGGTCTCATGATCAAATTTTGGATGTTTGGTAATTGGCATGAATTTATGACTATTGTAGTGTCATGGGTTCACCTTTTAGCAAGCAAAGACAATGTGGAAGCCAGCTTCATTTAACAACCACTTAATAGTGATTCAGTTAACACCTGTGGCAAGAAAGGTCGTAAAAAGAGGCAAAACTCATTGCTTAACAACAGAAAAGTTGGGCTCAATTGTGATCGTAAGTCGAGGAGTATCTCTGTATACATTTGGGAATTAGGGAGACTTTAGTAGTGCCAGTTCAGCATTAAAGAACCAAAACAAAATATGGAAGAGATAGTATCAAAGGTAATTTTTTTAGCTTGAGTAATATCATTTGATGTTGATCACGTACAGTATACTTGATTGATGAAATGTGTACTCCAATTTCAAATTAGATTTTGAAAATGTCAAACTTGAGGCAATGTAGTTTTTGAGATAACATTTTGAATAGTAATGAGCGTGTGAAATAAATTAATGCAGAAGTAGCATGAAGTACTATTGCTGCTCATTCTTTTGCTGCCTTTAGTTTCTCCAGCACTGAGATGGAGACTCCACCATTGGGTAGTAGACTGTATTCCTGCCCAATCAGATCAAGTCAGCCAAAGTTGCCACGCCCGTCCTGGACCGTTGATCTCCAGTCTTTGACTTGATCTTGCCCAGGACAGACGTTGCAAGTTTGGCTCTAGGCAGGTACAGTCAGTGGTGGATTTTTCCAGTCCCTTTCCC